ATGTCCTTATAAAAACACATTTCTATGTGAATTTTATTGAAAAACGTTGATTAAAGGCACAAAATATGTTATTTTTCTGTTTTCAAGTACTCTTTAGCTATTGGAGTTACCAAACTGTTGCGGCCATTTTCTCGCTAATGTCACCACTGAAACAAGGCGACCACACTTCCTTCAATAGCAGATATTGTGAGTTCTATTCATGAGAGATGAACATTCAATTCATAGAAAGCAAGGCAAATAAATCAGCTGTCAGGTGATACCAATAACTCCACACGCACAAAAATTGATTGAAGACCGCCTTATTCCACAGTGTCTTGATACATTTAATCTTTTCTGATCTCTCGCAGGGCTTACTGTAAGTCTCTCTTTATTCCTCTCTCTCTCTCTCTCTCTCTCTCTCTCTCTCTCTCTCTCTCTCTCTCTCTCTCTCTCTCTCTCTCTCTCTCTCTCTCTCTGCCCCCCCCTCTCTCTCTCTCTCTCTCTCTGCCCCCCCTCTCTCCCTCTCTATCTCTCCCCCCCCTCCTGTCTCTCTCTCTCTCTCTCTCTCTCTCTCTCTCTCTCTCTCTCTCTCTCTCTCTCTCTCTCTCTCTCTCCCTCTCTCCCTCTTTGAAAACCTCACAAACGTCATCACTTTGAAACTGCAGTGCTTTCAATGCCAAGCTGTGAGAACAGTGTACCAATCGCGCGAAAAGGACCAAATCACCCCTATAGTATGAAAACTCCATGCTAAAACTACTTATAAGGATTGCTGTCCTTTGCCATAAATGTTAATGTGTTATCAATAATGCCAACCCCCCCTTTGTTTTTTTAAGTAACCTCACTCAAGTGTATGCTCCACCAAGATCAGCAGATCAGTCTCTTATGAGAACACCAAGGACATGAAGTCACAAACTCTCTGGAAGGTCCTTTTCTCATTAAACTCCATCTATGTGAACCTCTCCCTCATTATATTTCAGGAATGCGGAGTTGAAGGTAAAATTTAAAATTGTTTTAAACGACATCTGATTAAATGTCATCTCCATTGTTAGTCATTCTTAATCATTGTACTCTTATGTCCATTATGTTATCGTTAATCTAAATCGCGTATGTACGTTGGTTCATTTGCTTGTGTGTTTTGTTTTGAGCTGAAGGTATTGTTTTTATGCGGGAACAGGTGCAATAGAAATCATCATCATCATCATCATCATCATCATCATCATCATCATCATCATCATCATCATCATCATCATCATCATCATCATCATCATCATCATCACCAAATATATGGTAATGTTCCCGCTCTTCTCCGTGGTTAACTTAACAGAACAGTGATTGTGACAGTATTAACCGTGGGTGGTTGGCGGGTGCTCTGATGTGGTCTGCTTCTTCTTTCCTATCCAACATCTATTGTCCTTAACTCTGCCCCTTCTTTTCTGTTTTTGTTACTCTCTTCTTGTAACACCTCTAATCTTCTGCACTTACATGACCTTAATGTGTTGCAAGGGCGATAAAACATTTACTAAAATAAACAGCATTCATCATGAGTATTTGTGTGGCCAGCCGTGAATCAAAAAACCACTCAGATGTTCCTTATATTTAGAGAACTGGGTTTTCCCGGTGAGAACACGCGCACCGAAAAAAATATAATTATTCCAAACCTCCCACACACCTCTTGTGAACGTTTCACTTTTTGCTCTTTACCCGACGCTGGTGAAACCATGTTAATAAGGTACACCCCCTTTTGCTGTTATTAGTCGAATTAGCGCGGACGCACAACGGATAAATTAGTCAAATAAGCGTCGCGTTGCTGGGTGAGGACTGACGACAAGGCCGAGAAAATTGTTTTAATTACCATAATATTGCGATGCCCTGACCCCGAGAGCGGCCTTTTATTGCTCGAATCATTTCGTATTTTCAAACATAAGCCATTAACCAGCTGCCAGAAGGAACTTTTCTTTTTTGGTCAGATGACTAGGAAATTATATAATTGTGAACAACGCAGAAAGAAAATAAAACATAAGAATAAATCAACATAAGAATAGAACAAAGTGATGATGATGATGATAAGGATGATGATGATGATAATGATGATGATGATGAGGAGGAGGAGGAGGAGGAGGAGGATGTAGTTTAGTCGTTAGGCTTTCTCAACGGTTAAGTAATGGGTTCGAATCCTGTCAGGGGCCCCAGATGTCGTGTCTTTGCGAAAATCACTTTACACACAATTTCCTCACTTCACCCAGGTGGAAATGAGTATCCGGAAAAAAACGACGAAAGATTTTGCCGTTTTATTAGTGCTTGAGTGTGTGCAATTAGCAGTTTGCACTGTTTTCTTAACGGGACACTAAGAATACTACTAAATGTTCTAGATTCTCTTGGGTAATAATAGTTGTAAAACGCATAGAGCGTGTTGTAGAGCTCGGATATTTGTTATAGTAAGAGAGAGAGAGAGAGAGAGAGAGAGAGAGAGAGAGAGAGAGAGAGAGAGGGGGGGGGGGTGTATGTGTGTGTGTGGGGAGGGGGGGTGCGACTTTTTCTCAACACATATTATCAAGCTGGAATATTAAAGGGTATCCCTACCTTGAAAACCAACTTTTTAATCAGAGAACCTGTGAAGTTAGTAATGGTATATGTTGATACGTATAGCCTAAATTTTCCACTCTTCTTGAACAAGCTCACTTTGGAGACCTCTGAACTGATTACGAGTGGTCCCATCAATATGAACACTAGCTAGCTGTAAAATTACACGTCTTTTCTCCCGTTTGCCTTTTAAAAAATCGTCCAGGTAGTACAGTTTTGAAATTTTAGGAAAATAAAATTATCAACAAAATTCAAGATGGCCGCTGTTTTCGTGGTAAATGAAGAATTTATGAATTGTTTGAAGGTGCATATTCTCTTTTCTCCTCACAAGTATCAACATATACCATTACTAGCTTCGCAGGTTGTCTGGTTAAAAAGCTGGTTTTCAAGGTAGCGATACCCCTTAAATGACTAAGATTCAAATACTCATTGGCTTTGGAAAGGGGGGAGGGGTAGAGATCGAGGGGAGAGGAGGGGTGGTCCTTGAATTTTGGGTTGTTTGAGGGAGTCTTTAACCTCCAAGTAAAGCTAATTAATAGCTTGTGGTGTCCCGGAAATTATACGATTTTTCCATATTATAATTGGAAAATGCTTTAGACCTGACAAACCAAGCTAGTTAAGGTCATATTGTGCCTTATACATTTTTAGAAAGTAGAATGCAAACAGGAATTAGACCTCAATTAGGAATTAGGAATTGCAATGTTTGGCTATATAAAAATCAGGATAAACGAATAGAAATAGCGACTCAAATTACGGCCGATTAAATCGGAGAGAAAAACACAGGACGAAACTTACGGGCGATTTATTTGGCTGTTGACACTTGGACGGTTAAGAATCTTTGCGTACTCGGATTGGTGCTATCGGAGGTAGACATCTAATTCGGAGGTTCTGCCTCTTAAATTACCCTTAAGTGTTGAAATAAAGACGTAGAAGTTGGGAGGAGCGACGGAAGAAGAAAGAAGGGGGGAAAAGAAAATGGGGAGGGGGGGGAAAGGAGTGAAGCAAAAAGGAAAACTATGATAAAACAATGACAGTAGAGGCAAGAAAAGGAGAGAAGGGGGAAGAACAAAGAATTGGGGGGGAGGGTTGGAGGAGGGGGAGGGGAACAAGGCATGGGGAAAGATTAAGAATGGAGGGAACAAGAAAAAGACGAAGAAGAAGAAGACGAAGAAGAAGACGAAGAATAAGAAGAAGAAGAAGAAGAAGAAGAAGAAGAAGAAGA